CTGAGGTGGCTTTATTCTCATCGCATGGGCAGTGATCATTTTGATAGAGGCCATCTTAGCTGAGGTCAGCCTTATGGCCTAAGCCCCATGTAAGAACAATGGAAGAGGTTATGTCCGCCATTTTGAAGTAGGGCAGTTTTTCATGGATATTCTCTGTAAAAGAACATTACTATACCACACCAACAGAAAGAGATTCGGTCTAGTACAAACAATAATGGGTGGGTGGTCGGGGGGAGGGAAATGACCATTAAACCCAAAATATAATTGTTCAGATGTAGCCCATTCACATAACTTCTGCGAGTATTATGTGTGGGGAAGTCTGAAGGGTCTGTATTATTCCATTATTCTCCTGTGTAGCTCTAACTGGCCCTCAGGTCAGGCAGCCCTGAATCAGGGAGTGCAGCTCAGATGAAGTGGAGGATCAAGGCCTTACATAACATATTTGCTGTTTCTGTTCTGACTTTACAGACCCGGGACCTGCTTCTTGAATATGCAGATGAAAAAGTAAAACTTGTCTTTGCAGAGTATAAAGAGGTGTTTGAGTCTGTGCCTTTTCAGGACAAGCGGAGGTGAGACGACAAGGACAAAACTGAATTTTATGTAATCTCTTGCATTGTGGGCTGTGTGAACCCTGGAATACTGGGCACTTGGGCAGTATTCATTGGTCTTCACTTTGAGACTGCAGGTTGCAGAAGATTCGTAGAGTTTAAGGCTAGACGGTAGCACTGAGATCATTTGGTCCAATGTCCTTCAAACAGATCTACAGTGTCTGGTCTGTCTGGTTCATCTGTGTGGTCTCCTCATCAAATGAGAGAGGTTTCCCCATAAACAAATGTCCAAAAAGGGGAAGGGATAACAGATCATGCCCCACATCTTAATAATCTGCATGAGCCGATCCTCAGCTTGTATAAATCAGTGTAGCTCCATTATCCTCCAGGCTTACTTCTCCAATGTTCTGGTTTCTTCCCACTCTTGCAGAGTTATCCAGATCTTAGACAAAATTCCCATGTCTGTTTCTGGGGTGATCGGGTTATTCCAGTCCTTCTCCATGTATCAAGCCTTTCTGAGGAGCGACCCTGAAGCAGCAAAATCCCTCCTCCAAAAAACTGAACAAAGGTAAAAACAATTTAAGAAAATGAGCAGAATATGGGCAGCTCTCTTGTATGACATAGGTGAAGAGTGAGGTTGCAACAATTCCTCCAACGCTGGGGGAAGGGGAGGCAGTCATTGCACTGGTGCAGCCCTCTTTGCTCTGGGTCACTATTGTGAGTGTGGCTTTTTATGGGCCAGATCCTCAGCTGGCTTAAATCAGCAAAGCCCCATTAGCTTCAATAGAGCTATGCCAACTTAAACCAGCTGGGGATATGGCCCAGTATTTCTGCCAGAATCCCCTATGTGCATTGCTGTCACTGGTGAAGTCTAGCTTGATACTTCATAAAATAGGCAGCTTAGCTAATTTCCTCCTTCTGGTACTTGATACTGAGTTTTTCCTTCTGGGACATCCTGAAGTTTAATTAGCAAAGGAATAAAATATTAAGAGCTTGAGCTTCTAGTTCCATCTTATACCCAATAAACCACAATCTCTTGGGCTATATGGTGCCTTCAGTCTCTTTATACAAACCCAGTAACACCAAAAGTTTCACAAATGGGCAGCCTACCATACGGTCCTCAGTAATTATGGTTAGTGACTGGCACAGGTAATGTGCTAAAACTGCTTTAGACATAGTAAACTTCTCCTGAAGTACCTTTTGTGCATCCTTTTATGATAAGAGTAGAATGTTTTTTGGTGGGACAGGTATGTCTTAGGCTGTGGTGCTAAGAACTGGCTGTCACCTCTGCCTCTGGTAGAACAGGAGTCAATGTATACAGTGAGAAAGTAAGTGACCCTTCCTCCATTTCTTGTTTCAGGTTCCTGGACACCATGGGAGTTTGCTCTAATGAAACCCAGGTAGAGATTGGGATAAGGAGTGTTTCTGTTCTAGGCTGCAAGGGGCCATGAATGGAAAATCCAGTGATGATCCTATAGCGAGAAGAAAAATCTCGATTTTTTGGTATCTATTTGTAACTGATGTTATCACCGTTCAATAAAGTCCATGGCAAAACTCCCATCCTCTTCAATGGGGGAGAAAGGAAGCACGATATCAAATAGTACCAATATTAGAAGGGCTTTTACGGGGTGGTTGCTTCCTATTTAAAGAGGAAAAGCACAGTGTTCTGTCCAGCCTCCCTCCAACAGGCATTGGAAGAAATCAAGGACCCTTTGCCACATAGAAGGCTGCAGAGATTGACTCATATCTGGAATATGCAATAAACATCATGTTCCCTAACAGCTGAGAGATTTTTGGAGGGCTTTATTGTCCTACTGAGTAAAAATAGCTTGCAGCAAGATCAACTGCTATATGTAATTCCCTGTCAATGGGGTAAGCAAATAGGAACAGCAATAATGTTGTAGAGTTCTCGGAATAATACGTCACAGGGATCTTTCAACCAAAGCCCTCCAAGTGTTGTTCCAGGTCGATCAGTATTACTGTCTGCGCTCCACATGAAGTGAAGAAGAGACCAGCCCCAAACATGCTAATTACAGAACTTCTTATTACAGGCCAAAGTTTCAGAAGAACTTGCCTTCCATTTAGGCACCAAAATAACTGACGGGATTTTCTAGAAATCTCAGCACCTTGGGTGTCTAGCTCCGTGTGAAAATCTGGCCATGAATGAGCGTTCTTGAAAATCTGACTCCATTTGTGGGTGCTGAGCACTTGAAAATCCAGCCCTAAGTGTCTAAGATAGCAATTGTAAGTCACTCCCATTAATTCTGTGGTTAAAGAGTAGCAGCCGTGTTAGTGGGAGGTGACTCCCAGCTTGAGGAGACATACCCACGCTAGCTCTGACTGAGCTAGCCCACTGAAAATAGTGCAGCCGTGGCAGCACAAGCAGCGGGAGGAGCTAGCTGCCCCTAGTATATCCCTAGGGTCTCAGGTGGGATCTTAGGGCAGCTAGTCCCTCCCACTCCTCATGCCGCTGCTGTCACTTTATTATTAGTGCACTACCTCGATCAGAGCTAGTGGGGGTATGTCTCCAAGCTGGGCATTAGCCCTCCAGCTCAGATTTAGACATTACCTAAGGGTGGAACTCATCCCCTTACAGTGAAGATCATCCTTAAAGCTGGTGGTTATTGTTATGATTAATTATTTGTATTATCATAGTGCCTGGGAGTCCTGCTCAAAGACCAGAATTTCACTCTGCCAGGTTCTGTACAAATGCAGAACAATAGTCACGACATTCTCAGGCAGTTTATTATGATTGTATTTAATATTCCAGTAGCATCTTGTTGTGCCAGGCATTGAACACACGCATACGAAGGCCTGGTCCTGCCCCAAACACCTGACAGTCTAGGACTCTGATCCTGCAAAGACTTACCGACATAATTAACTTCACTAACATGACTTCAGTGGGATTATTTAGGTGCTTAAAATTAAGCAGATGTGATTTGAAAACAAAAAAGCTAAAGGAAGTGTCACCTGCCCTGCAGCCAGCAATCACTGGCAGATTTGGCAGGGGTAGATCCTACGGAGGGGTGTGAAGGAGAAGAAGAGGCTGACGGCCTTTTCGGTTTTTAACCACTCATTTGTTAGCTGTTTGTCACTAATGCAGCCTTTTAATTGCCAGAGTTCCAGCAGGTCCTGGTTATGCCCAGACCAGGAATTCAAGAGCAGCCTTTTGTCAATATTTCTTTTCACTTCCACTCTTGGCTTAAACCAGAAAGCACAGAGATGTGGGGCAGGGGAGGGGGTGTGTTAAAGTGAACCAGACTTTTTCCACCCCTAAAAGTTCAGTATGAGTTCTGGGCCAAGATTTTCCCATTTTGTTTGAAGTGGTTTGCCTGACCCAAAAAATGACCAACCAAACTCCAGTATTTGCTGCAACAATGTAAAGTGATCTCACTAAAGTAAGGTTTCAGAGTAGCAGCCATGTTAGTCTGTATTCGCAAAAAGAAAAGGAGTACTTGTGGCACCTTAGAGACTAACCAATTTATTTGAGCATAAGCTTTCGTGAGCTACAGCTCACTTCATCCGATGCACTGAAGTAAGCTTGTGGAAAATCGAAATTCCCTTAAAATAGCTGCAATTTGAGTACACTGATTAGAACGTGTGGAGGTGGAATAGATAATTTATGTTCCGAAATCTTTCCCATAGTCAGGAAAATCTCCCTTTCATTTCAGTGACTTTCTTTTTTGTATGTAGTAAAATACATCCAGATTTCAAAGGTAACATATCAGCTCCCAGAAAGTACCATTGCTTCCCTAGATACGTTTAATCTCCCAAAGAGCAGAATAAAATAATGCCCCATCCGTCATTCCTGGGTGTTCGTTTTACTGGAGATAACAGAACTTCACAGAAATCACAGAGGCTGGCACTACACACACAGCAATTGACATGAAGCAGAGGCATATTACCAGGTGCTCCAAAAGAAACAAGAACTTTTCCGTATAGAAAGTGTGGAAACTGGTTGGAAAAGCTTTTCAGTTTCACATCTCTAGGGGACTGTTACACCCAAGAGTGAGGAAAGGAATAACAATTAAAGCCTACAAGTACCTCACAGTATCCTTTTGCATTCATCAAACTTAATTCTATGTAAGGTTCCAAATGCAAATCTCTTTGTAAAACTCAGAAGTAGTCAAAATCATGCCATAAAATATATTTACTCTAAAATACTCGGCAGAGTTAAACTTTGTTTCCCAGAAACACATCTCGATAAAGAGATGTCTCGGTCTAACTGACACAGGGTTTCCAAGAAAGAGAAGAAACATCATAAATGAGAGTTCTACTGGCCAGTTCTTAAAATGCATTTGATTGGTTATATTTATTCAGCTGAAAACCAGCAGCCAATGGAATCTTCTGTTCCCAAGTTTCTAAAACAATGGATTGCGCTCAGCTGACATGGGCATTAACAAATCAAAGCTTCTGGGTTCACAGGTTGGCTTCCCCCAGGCTGCAGAAAGAATACCGCTAATTCGTCAACTACGGCAGGAGTTCTTTCTTCTTGGGCAGGGAATCCATCTGTTTCAGTGACACACAGATACAAGGTACGTTTCCTTTGATTGCTTCACAGTTTCTTTTGGTGTTTCTCATATGCTAACTTGTGCCTGGCAGGGCTTGTCAGGTTGAGAAGTTTTTATCTCTGTGAAAGAAATGCACAATTAGGGGTTGCAAAACAATTGACTGAAAATGTTTTTGTCCAGTGGGCAAATGATGGTGGCTCAGCCCTAACTTTTACCTCCTATAAATTGTTATAATTCTATGTCCTTTACTCTGCTTCCTGAGCTGTTTTTCTTTCCGTGTCCCTGTGGTTTTGACAATAAAAGCATGAAGAACTGAAATAAATTGAAATCTTTTAGAGACAGAATGGTACTATCTATTCTACAATATTCAGGGTACTGATACCAGTCCCATCGTAGCTGAGCCTAGAGGTCTTAAACTCTCATCTTCCTTGATGTATTCATCTGCGCCCTGTCCCCATGACAGATTCAGATACGGGAAGCTGGAGTTTCAGACTTTGTAAAGGGCTGTAACTGACAAGTTTTCCAACAACCTCTACTACACACAATCCTTTGTGGACATGGTTTATAATGATATCAACCCCTTTTTCTCTCTGCAAGGCTGAATGCCATAGCACACCAGTGGGTTGCAGAATTAGCTAAGTTTAACTTCAAAGTCAAATATTGTCCAGAGAAATCTGATGTGGAGACAAATAACCTACCCAGAAGTCCCCTTATGCAAAAATGTGACAGAATGCACTGAAGAGACAGGCAAAGATGTTTAGATTAATGCTGTCTTATAATGTATGGATGTACACAGAGATGGCAAGGTACTTTGGTTGACAGCTATTGCTAGCAGCCTTTTGGCAGTAGGAGACTTAAACCCATCACAATGCCTCTTCCACAAGAAGACATTTTTGGCAGCCCAGAAGGAAAATCTGGCTATTGCTAAATTTCTTCACTGTTAGATATAGGGGGAAAAGCCTAATAACCAAGATAACAGGGGAGGATACACAGTATCTATTTCTGTATCTTATCCTAGATTCTATCCGAGACGGATGTAAATATCAGTAAATGAAGTGATATTGCTTTCTGGTATTGAGATTGTTCTATATCCAAGGTTTTATCATTTTGCATAATGTACAGGTTTTTTTATTCAGCAGATCTTTTTTCTAAAGAGAATGTGATATGCCCAGTGACTTTGCATTATGTGGTTATACCACTGATTATATAGGCAGTGTTATTTCATGAGATATGAATGTCTTTGGGACTATAAACTGTTCAGACCTGGCTATCCTGTCCAATTGTGGAACTCAGCTGCCACAGAGTATTCCTGCTTGATTGGCACTCACCTGGCATTTGAGGGACCCAGGCTGCCATCCCTTAAAACAGGCAGAGCAGAGATTTGAACAAGGGTCTCCCATGTGAGTGCCCAAACCACTAGGCTATATACAGTAGTAGTTCTTATGCTCTCTCTGTGTAGCCCAATGAATATTGAGTTGCTTATACACAGTGGAACAGCTTCAACAAGCCAGAATGAAATTTGAAAGGTTGTTCTCATTTTACTGAAATGCCCCCTTTTTAGTTTTTGCTAAAATGTTTTTGTAGTTTTAAAATATTTTTCCAGGTATTTTTGTCACTTTCATTTCGGGGGGGGGGGGGGGATTTCTTTCCCTTATTCCCCCATCCCCACAGTTATTTCAGAGGCGGGAGGGAGACAATTTTCAAAAATGAGTGAGGAGGGAAAAAAGGGAGGAGAGAAGGTAAAAGAAAATAAGAAAAACCAAAAAATTAATAGTAAAACGTATTTTAAAATAACAAAAAAAGAAAATGCCACATTTTGCAATGTTTAAGTGACTGTTTTTTGACAAATTGTCAGTTAAAAATAAGTATTTTTGACAAAAAATAATTTGACACATTTTGACCAGTCTACTGTAAACATAGGCCCAGATAATCGGCTGGTCCAAATCAGCATAGCCCATTCCCTTCTGATTTGCAGCACTAGATGATCTGGCCCACATCATATTTCCTCCCACAAACCCCGGTATTCTGCTTTTTACATTTACCACCTATACCCAAGACAAAGACACTTGAAAAGCAAAGTTCACTGATCCGTATTTAACAAGAAGTATCTTTGCCCTTCACTGATTCCAAGGGTTAGAACTTCAGTACGTAACTTGAGTAATATTTAATTGAGTTAATTACATAGTCAGTGGAGTTTGATCTTACGGCTTGTGATGTTGCACCCCATAATGCTTTATCTAAATATGCTTATGAGTGTATATATGACATAACTGAAATATGTTTTATCTTACATATGCGTGTAACATATCTCTGCAAAGATTTTGATCCACTCAATATATTCATCCTATTTCTATGCATGTATCATTTTGCATCTATCATATAAGCCTGCAGCTGTTGGGGGATGTGGTTCAGACCTGGGGCTGTTTGCGCAGCAGGCAAGCGTGTCTGGCTCAAACCAAGCAGGGCACTGAAGTCATAAGCGGGCAGGGAAAACAGACTCAGAGGTAATCAAAGCACATCAGGTGGCAGTCACAAGGGGTTTTTTGACAAGTTTCAGAGTAATAGCCGTGTTAGTCTGTATTCGCAAAAAGACAAGGAGTACTTGTGGCACCTTAGAGACTAACCAATTTATTTGAGCATAAGCTTTCGTGAGCTACAGCTCACTTCATCCACCCATCACATGGCTAATGTAACAAAGTGAATTTGCCTAATCGCCTTAGGTGCCAGTTTGCTGGAACATGGCTGTGCGTTTGTTTGAGGCACGACATCATGCAGTTTTGTATCAGAAATACAGATTCTCTCCCTCTGAAAATCTCCAAAGTCTCATCTTCTCCTACTTGGAAGAAAAGGTAAGTGACCCTGTCAGGCCCTAGGCTGAGAATACTGTGGAGAAGACCTATAGAATACAGTAGGAGTGAAACCAATAGGATACTATAAACGTTACTCTAATTACCTGGAGAATCAGAGCCTTTACTCTGTGACTAGGATTGGGTATGTGTACAGGGGTGTAAAGAGGACTTAGATTTGGCTCTTCATAAGACTTTGTGCTCCGCTTGCAGAGACTTGTCTGTTCTCTCCTCAGAAAGTAGACCCCATTCGGCTGGCAGTGGATGTTGGCTGCGGGTCGGGACAAAGCACTCGCATACTTGCAGCTCATTTTGAGAAGGTGGTTGGAACAGACATCAGTGAAGCTCAAATCGAGGCAGCCAAACAAGCTGCCTCCTTCCCAAATGTTTCTTACCAGTAAGTGTTCCATAAAAGGATGCTTTCCCTTTGGATGTATCCAGAGTGCTGACCTTTGCACAAAGCAAGCACTTCGTGAACAGGACAGATACAGGCCAGCATTTTCAAACGAGGTCAGTCATTTCTAGGTGCCTGATTTCAAACATATTTGGTCTGCTTTTTCACAAAGTACCCAGAACTCACGACTCCATCTGAAAGTCAGCAGGAGCTGCAGGTCCTCAGCTTCTGAAAATCAGGCCGCTCCTAATTAAATGCTGAAATATGGATTTTGGAGCTTGGGCTGACATTCTTAGGCCAAACCCCTCTTCAGTTTCAAGGGAACAAAAAAGTGAGGCTTTTCAATGTCAGATTTTCAACAACACCACATTTCCTCTCAGCAGCGTCCACACCTGACAAGTTTCATGCACGTCAGGCCCCAGTAGAGACGACTCCTTCTTCCCAATTTAAATATCTTCCCTGTTTCCCTTTATAGTGTGTGCCCTGCAGAGGAGCTGCCATTTGAGGATGGTTCCGTGGACTTCATTACTGCTTTTGCAGCTGCCCACTGGTTTGATATGCCGAGGTTCATGAAAGAAGTGGATCGAGTTCTCAGGCCACATGGCTGTGTGGCCCTTAGCACCTACACTACAGACTTCAGTATGCACTATAAAGACTGCTCGGAAAGGCTTACAGAAATCTTCACTGAGGTGGGAGAAGAAAACAATCCTCTTCTGACAAAAAAAGACACTCCATATGGCAGGAAGTGTATAGTATATTTTAAGGTTGCCAGACACTTTCCAGTATAAGACCCTGTTTTCAGCTGTTTACAATTTTGCCAGACCTTAAGCGTTTGGGCTGAAATTTTCCTTTCTGCCTGTCTGCCACAGCAAAAACAGTCAGCCATTTCCAAAAAACAGAAATAGAGACTAATAGGTGCCTTTGCCCATTTCAAAACAAATTCTTATACCCATTGTGTTGAGAAGTACTAGCTCCTCAGCGCTCTGGAGCAGAGCTTGGAATTTGCAGAGCGGTTGTGCGAGGGATGTGCCTTCCGATTTTTTCCCCATGGGAAAACCACCCAAACTTGGCTGAGTTATAACTCTTTGAAAAATTTCAGCTTGAACATTGTCAGTAGAGGGTTTGGCAGCTAAATTTTCCAAAGATTCCATCTGCAATGAACATGCTCCAGCTCCTCACAGCTCCTGGTGCTCGCCCACAGACTGTGAATGCACCATCCCCACACAGCAATTGAGTATGCTCCATCCTGAAGCTGTTCGGGCTGAGCTGGATGTTCCCTGCTGCAGGTCACTGTGGTGCTGGGCACCAGTTCTCACCGCAGGGACACTGCCTTCAGTGGTGCCCTGCTTATGCCCAGGCAGCATGAGCAGGAAGGAACCTGGCTCAATTCAGAGAGGACATGAGTTGTGGTGGTAGAGGGAGTAGATTAAGACAAGGAGCTTGAGGAGGACGGGGAGTCTAGGACTTGGAGCCAATGAGAACAGGATAATTGGGCATAAAGCAGGCTACAGGCTGGTGGCTAGAACTGGTTGTCAAGGAGAGACGGACAAGATGCCCAAGCGTGAGATGAGGGGGTACTGTGAGGTGGCATGAGGACCTTGGGGATGGAGGCTGAGTTTTTTACTGTTTGTGAAACTCTCAAACACTATAGTGGTGAGTAACACAGACAATTAATAACTGTGCATGGCAGGGTTTGAATAGTATGCAGGAAATAAGGCATGAGGTCACTCGTTGGACAATCAGGATAAAGCAAAATATTAAATAGCTACACATTATGTGTGCATTGTCCATCTTGGTCACTGCGTTAGGCAGGGGTCCTGTGGAAAAACTAGTATCCAGTCATGTAACTTAAAGACTGTATAATAGAGAAGGTGTACGATGGAGGCAAATTAAGGTTACACAAACAACCTTAATTCTGGCATTTCTTAACTTTGAGTGCTTGACTTTGTATCCTGGATAATGTTCTTTTAATGTAGCCTTGGGGTTGTATGTAGGGTCTGAGCCAAAGTCCATGGAAGTATGCAAGAGTCATTTGACTCCACTGGGATTTGGATCTGGCCCTTATGGAACGCTGCCAGGTGATGTGGTACATTTGGGAAGGCTGGTTTGCGTTCAGGCAGCTTCCATCACATAAAACCCATTCCCAGACAAAAACTACCTTCACATTGAGGTATGGGTCAGAGAACATACGAATAACTTGGGATAAAATCCATTAGTCGCTGTTGTAATTATCCCCTAATGAAGTATTACAAACCAGGACATTCAGAGTTATTGTTAGACTTACCTTCCCTAAGGTAAGGAGATGACTCAGGCCAGGTACCCAAAAAACATTAATTCTGTCCTCTATTGATACCATGTAATGCCCATAGAATTCTGACTAAGGCATTATAATGCTATGGTCTCTTCAGATTGAACTGATTGTAAAGACATATTAGCTTTCTGTCTTCTCCCACCTCCATAATGTCACTCAATTAGGGGGCCATTTTGAGAAGGGTATCTATGAGAGTAAGGCTACAGTATGCCTCAACAAAGATGGCTGCTGTCTCCATGTACTTGGTCGTCATAGTATTCCTATCTGCCTCCTGATGGCACAGGTGGCAACCATCTTCCCTGAGGTGGCTTCATTCTCATCGCATGGGCAGTGATCATTTTGATAGAGGCCATCTTAGCTGAGGTCAGCCTTATGGCCTAAGCCCCATGTAAGAACAATGGAAGAGGTTATGTCCGCCATTTTGAAGTAGGGCAGTTTTTCATGGATATTCTCTGTAAAAGAACGTTACTATACCACACCAACAGAAAGAGATTCGGTCTAGTACAAACAATAATGGGTGGGTGGTCGGGGGGAGGGAAATGACCATTAAACCCAAAAGACAATTGTTCAGATGTAGCCCATTCACATAACTTCTGCGAGTATTATGTGTGGGGAAGTCTGAAGGGTCTGTATTATTCCATTATTCTCCTGTGTAGCTCTAACTGGCCCTCAGGCCAGGCAGCCCTGAATCAGGGAGTGCAGCTCAGATGAAGTGGAGGATCAAGGCCTTACATAACATATTTGCTGTTTCTGTTCTGACTTTACAGACCCGGGACCTGCTTCTTGAATATGCAGATGAAAAAATAAAACTTGTCTTTGCAGAGTATAAAGAGGTGTTTGAGTCTGTGCCTTGTCAGGACAAGCGGAGGTGAGACGACAAGGACAAAACTGAATTTTATGTAATCTCTTGCATTGTGGGCTGTGTGAACCCTGGAATACTGGGCACTTGGGCGGTATTCATTGGTCTTCACTTTGAGACTGCAGGTTGCAGAAGATTCGTAGAGTTTAAGGCTAGACGATAGCACTGAGATCATTTGGTCCAATGTCCTTCAAACAGATCTACAGTGTCTGGTCTGCCTGGTTCATCTGTGTGGCCTCCTCATCAAATGAGAGAGGTTTCCCCATAAACAAATGTCCAAAAAGGGGAAGGGATAACAGATCATGCCCCACATCTTAATAATCTGCATGAGCCAGATCCTCAGTTTGTATAAATCAGTGTAGCTCCATTATCCTTCAGGCTTACTTCTCCAATGCTCTGGTTTCTTCCCACTCTTGCAGAGTTACCCAGATCTTAGACAAAATTCCCATGTCTGTTTCTGGGGTGATCGGGTTATTCCAGTCCTTCTCCATGTATCAAGCCTTTCTGAGGAGCGACCCTGAAGCAGCAAAATCCCTCCTCCAAAAAACTGAACAAAGGTAAAAACAATTTAAGAAAATGAGCAGAATATGGGCAGCTCTCTTGTATGACATAGGTGAAGAGTGAGGTTGCAACAATTCCTCCAACGCTGGGGGGACGGGGAGGCAGTCATTGCACTGGTGCAGCCCTCTTTGCTCTGGGTCACTATTGTGAGTGTGGCTTTTTATGGGCCAGATCCTCAGCTGGCTTAAATCAGCAAAGCCCCATTAGCTTCAATAGAGCTATGCCAACTTAAACCAGCTGGGGATATGGCCCAGTATTTCTGCCAGAATCCCCTATGTGCATTGCTGTCACTGGTGAAGTCTAGCTTGATACTTCATAAAATAGGCAGCTTAGCTAATTTCCTCCTTCTGGTACTTGATACTGAGTATTTCCTTCTGGGACATCCTGAAGTTTAATTAGCAAAGGAATAAAATATTAAGAGCTTGAGCTTCTAGTTCCATCTTATATCCAATAAACCACAATCTTTTGGGCTATATGGTGCCTTCAGTCTCTTTATACAAACCCAGTAACACCAAAAGTTTCACAAATGGGCAGCCTACCATACGGTCCTCAGTAATTACGGTTAGTGACTGGCACAGGTAATGTGCTAAAACTGCTTTAGACATAGTAAACTTCTCTTGAAGTACCTTTTGTGTATCCTTTTACGATAAGAGTAGAATGTTTTTTGGTGGGACAGGTATGTCTTAGGCTGTGGTGCTAAGAACTGGCTGTCACCTCTGCCTCTGGTAGAACAGGAGTCAATGTATACAGTGAGAAAGTAAGTGACCCTTCCTCCATTTCTTGTTTCAGGTTCCTGGACACCATGGGAGTTTGCTCTAATGAAACCCAGGTAGAGATTGGGATAAGGAGTGTTTCTGTTCTAGGCTGCAAGGGGCCATGAATGGAAAATCCAGTGATGATCCTATAGCCAGAAGAAAAATCTCGATTTTTTGGTATCTACTTGTAACTGATGTTATCACCATTCAATAAAGTCCATGGCAAAACTCCCATCCTCTTCAATGGGAGAGAAAGGAAGCACGATATCAAATAGTACCAATATTAGAAGGGCTTTCACGGCGTGGTTGCTTCCTAATTAAAGAGGAAAAGCACGGTATTCTGTCCAGCGTCCCTTCAACAAGCATTGGAAGAAATCAAGGACCCTTTGCCACATAGAAGGCTGCAGAGATTGACTCATATCTGGAATATGCAATAAACATCATGTTCCCTAACAGCTGAGAGATTTTTGGAGGGCTTTATTGTCCTACTGAGTAAAAATAGCTTGCAGCAAGATCAACTGCTATATGTAATTCCCTGTCAATGGGGTAAGCAAATAGGAACAGCAATAATGTTGTAGAGTTCTCGGAATAATACGTCACAGGCATCTTTCAACCAAAGCCCTCCAAGGGTTGTTCCAGGTCGATCAGTATTACTGTCTGCGCTCCACATGAAGTGAAGAAGAGACCAGCCCCAAACATGCCAATTACAGAACTTCTTATTACAGGCCAGAGTTTCAGAAGAACTTGCCTTCCATTCAGGCACCAAAATAACTGACGGGATTTTCTAGAAATCTCAGCACCTTGGGTGCCTAGCTCCGTGTGAAAATCTGGCCACGAATGAGCGTTCTTGAAAATCTGACTCCATTTGTGGGTGCTGAGCACTTGAAAATCCAGCCCTAAGTGTCTAAGATAGCAATTGTAAGTCACTCCCATTAATTCTGTGGTTAAAGAGTAGCAGCCGTGTTAGTGGGAGGTGACTCCCAGCTTGAGGAGACATACCCACGCTAGCTCTGACTGAGCTAGCCCACTGAAAATAGTGCAGCCGTGGCAGCACAAGCAGCGGGAGGAGCTAGCTGCCCCTAGTATATCCCTAGGGTCTCAGGTGGGATCTTAGGGCAGCTAGTCCCTCCCACTCCTCATGCCGCTGCTGTCACTTTATTATTAGTGCACTACCTCGATCAGAGCTAGTGGGGGTATGTCTCCAAGCTGGGCATTAGCCCTCCAGCTCAGATTTAGACATTACCTAAGGGTGGAACTCATCCCCTTACAGTGAAGATCATCCTTAAAGCTGGTGGTTATTGTTATGATTAATTATTTGTATTATCATAGTGCCTGGGAGTCCTGCTCAAAGACCAGAATTTCACTGTGCCAGGTTCTGTACAAATGCAGAACAATAGTCACGACATTCTCAGGCAGTTTATTATGATTGTATTTAATATTCCGGTAGCATCTTGTTGTGCCAGGCATTGAACACACGCATACGAAGGCCTGGTCCTGCCCCAAACACCTGACAGTCTAGGGCTCTGATCCTGCAAAGACTTACCGACATAATTAACTTCACTAACATGACTTCAGTGGGATTATTTAGGTGCTTAAAATTAAGCAGATATGATTTGAAAACAAAAAAGCTAAAGGAAGTGTCACCTGCCCTCCAGCCAGCAATCACTGGCAGATTTGGCAGGGGTAGATCCTACAGAGGGGTGTGAAGGAGAAGAAGAGGCTGACGGCCTTTTAGGTTTTTAACCACTCATTTGTTAGCTGTTTGTCACTAATGCAGCCTTTTAATTGCCAGAGTTCCAGCAGGTCCTGGTTATGCCCAGACCAGGAATTCAAGAGCAGCCTTTTGTCAATATTTCTTTTCACTTCCACTCTTGGCTTAAACCAGAAAGCACAGAGATGTGGGGCAGGGGAGGGGGTGTGTTAAAGTGAACCAGACTTTTTCTACCCCTAAAAGTTCAGTATGAGTTCTGGGCCAAGATTTTCCCATTTTGTTTGAAGTGGTTTGCCTGACCCAAAAAATGACCAACCAAACTCCAGTATTTGCTGCAACAATGTAAAGTGATCTCACTAAAGTAAGGTTTCAGAGTAGCAGCCATGTTAGTCTGTATTCGCAAAAAGAAAAGGAGTACTTGTGGCACCTTAGAGACTAACCAATTTATTTGAGCATAAGCTTTTGTGAGCTACAGCTCACTTCATCCGATGCACTGAAGTAAGCTTGTGGAAAATCGAAATTCCCTTAAAATAGCTGCAATTTGAGTACACTGATTAGAACGTGTGGAGGTGGAATAGATAATTTATGTTCCGAAATCTTTCCCATAGTCAGGAAAATCTCCCTTTCATTTCAGTGACTTTCTTTTTTGTATGTAGTAAAATACATCCAGATTTCAAAGGTAACATATCAGCTCCCAGAAAGTACCATGCTTCCCTAGATACGTTTAATCTCCCAAAGAGCAGAATAAAATAATGCCCCATCCGTCATTCCTGGGTGTTCGTCTTACTGGAGATAACAGAACTTCACAGAAATCACAGAGGCTGGCACTACACACACAGCAATTGACATGAAGCAGAGGCATATTACCAGGTGCTCCAAAAGAAACAAGAACTTTTCCGTATAGAAAGTGTGGTAAAATAAAAGCATGAAGAACTGAAATAAATTGAAATCTTTTAGAGACAGAATGGTACTATCTATTCTACAATATTCAGGGTACTGATACCAGTCCCATCGTAGCTGAGCCTAGAGGTCTTAAACTCTCATCTTCCTTGATGTATTTATCTGCGCCCTGTCCCCATGACAGATTCAGATACGGGAAGCTGGAGTTTCAGACTTTGTAAAGGGCTGTAACTGACAAGTTTTCCAACAACCTCTACTACACACAATCCTTTATGGACATGGTTTATAATGATATCAACCCCTTTTTCTCTCTGCAAGGCTGAATGCCATAGCACACCAGTGGGTTGCAGAATTAGCTAAGTTTAACTTCAAAGTCAAATATTGTCCAGAGAAATCTGATGTGGAGACAAATAACCTACCCAGAAGTCCCCTTATGCAAAAATGTGACAGAATGCACTGAAGAGACAGGCAAAGATGTTTAGATTAATGCTGTCTTATAATGTATGGATGTACACAGAGATGGCAAGGTACTTTGGTTGACAGCTATTGCTAGCAGCCTTTTGGCAGTAGGAGACTTAAACCCATCACAATGCCTCTTCCACAAGAAGACATTTTTGGCAGCCCAGAAGGAAAATCTGGCTATTGCTAAATTTCTTCACTGTTAGATATAGGGGGAAAAGCCTAATAACCAAGATAACAGGGGAGGATACACAGTATCTATTTCTGTATCTTATCCTAGATTCTATCTGAGACGGATGTAAATATCAGTAAATGAAGTGATATTGCTTTCTGGTATTGAGATTGTTCTATATCCAAGGTTTTATCATTTTGCATAATGTACAGGTTTTTTTATTCAGCAGATCTTTTTTCTAAAGAGAATGTGATATGCCCAGTGACTTTGCATTATGTGGTTATACCACTGATTATATAGGCAGTGTTATTTCATGAGATATGAATGTCTTTGGGACTATAAACTGTTCAGACCTGGCTATCCTGTCCAATTGTGGAACTCAGCTGCCATAGAGTATTCCTGCTTGATTGGCACTCACCTGGCATTTGAGGGACCCAGGCTGCCATCCCTTAAAACAGGCAGAGCAGAGATTTGAACAAGGGTCTCCCATGTGAGTGCCCAAACCACTAGGCTATATACAGTAGTAGTTCTTATGCTCTCTCTGTGTAGCCCAATGAATATTGAGTTGCTTATACACAGTGGAACAGCTTCAACAAGCCAGAATGAAATTTGAAAGGTTGTTCTCATTTTACTGAAATGCCCCCTTTTTAGTTTTTGCTAAAATGTTTTTGTAGTTTTAAAATATTTTTCCAGGTATTTTTGTCACTTTCATTTCGGGGGGGGGGGGGATTTCTTTCCCTTATTCCCCCATCCCCACAGTTATTTCAGAGGCGGGAGGGAGACAATTTTCAAAAATGAGTGAAGAGGGAAAAAAGGGAGGAGAGAAGGTAAAAGAAAATAAGAAAAACCAAAAAATTAATAGTAAAACGTATTTTAAAATAACAAAAAAAGAAAATGCCACATTTTGCAATGTTTAAGTGACTGTTTTTTTGACAAATTGTCAGTTAAAAATAAGTATTTTTGACAAAAAATAATTTGACACATTTTGACCAGCCCTACTGTAAACATAGGCCCAGATAATCGGCTGGTCCAAATCAGCATAGCCCATTCCCTTCTGATTTGCAGCACTAGATGATCTGGCCCACATCATATTTCCTCCCACAAACCCCGGTATTCTGCTTTTTACATTTACCACCTATACCCAAGACAAAGACACTTGAAAAGCAAAGTTCACTGATCCGTATTTAACAAGAAGTATCTTTGCCCTTCACTGATTCCAAGGGTTAGAACTTCAGTACGTAACTTGAGTAATATTTAATTGAGTTAATTACATAGTCAGTGGAGTTTGATCTTACGGCTTGTGATGTTGCACCCCATAATGCTTTATCTAAATATGCTTATGAGTGTATATATGACATAACTGAAATATGTTTTATCTTACATATGCGTGTAACATATCTCTGCAAAGGTTTTGATCCACTCAATATATTCATCCTATTTCTATGCATGTATCATTTTTGTATTCGAAGTTATGAATATTGGCTGCGTTCTTGTTTAATTTTAAGTAGCCTTAGTAAAGCATTTGGTCAGCTTCTTTAGAAAGGAATTTGCAAGTTAAGTGCGCAGTCAAGAAACACTTAAGCTAACAATGAACTTGGAGACGTCAATCCACATCTGAGTTTTCCCAGGAACGTGGCCTGGATGGTAAGGAACTCAGTCATGCATGGACATGTGACTTGCCCATGTGATTTCAAAATGCCATCTTGGAGCTGGATTTGGCATGGGAGAGAGGAGGGGGTCTCCACCCACAAGAGATAGTCTATTTAAGCCCCTGGGAGGCCCCTCTATTTGGTCTTCAGCTGGCTCAAGAGATAGCCTCTCCACCCCCACAGGATACCTGAAAGAAACTGGAAGAAAGGACAGTAACCATGGGGGTGTGAGTGGTTGCTGGACCCAGACTAGAAGGAGGCTAGTCTGCAAAAGAAGCTTACTGGAACATATCTGAGGGTGAGATTTCATCTGTAATCATTGTCTTACTGTATTAGGTTTAGACTTGCGTGTTTTGTTTTATTTTATTTTGTTTGGTAATTTACTTTGTTCTCTGTTATTACTTGGAACCACTTAAATCCTACTTTTGGTATTTTATAAAATCACTTTTTACTAATTAATTAACCCAGAGTATGTATTAATACCTGGGGGGGGGGGGACAGCTATGCATATCTCTCTATCAGTGTTATAGAGGGTGAAGAATTTGAGTTTATCCTGTATAAGCTTTATAGAGAGTAAAACAGATTTATTTTGGGTTAGGACCCTATTGGGAGCTGGGCATCTGAGTGTTAGAGACAGGAACACTTCTTAAGCTGTTTTCAGTTAAGCCTGCAGCAGTTGGGGGATGTGGTTCAGACCTGGGGCTGTTTGCGCAGCAGGCAGGCGTGTCTGGCTCAAACCAAGCAGGGCACTGAAGTCATAAGCTGGCAGGGAAAACAGTCTCAGAGGTAATCAAAGCACATCAGGTGGCAGTCACAAGGGGGTTTTTGTGATCCAACCCATCACATGGCTAATGTAACAAAGTGAATTTGCCTAATCGCCTTAGGTGCCAGTTTGCTGGAACATGGCTGTGCGTTTGTTTGAGGCACGACATCATGCAGTTTCCTCTCAGAAATACAGATTCTCTCCCTCTGAAAATCTCCAAAGTCTCATCTTCTCCTACTTGGAAGAAAGGTAAGTGACCCTGTCAGGCCTTAGGCTGAGAATACTGTGGAGAAGACCTATAGAATACAGTAGGAGTGAAACCAATAGGATATTACAGAAATTACTCTAATTACCTGGAGAATCAGAGCCTTTACTCTGTGACTAGGACTGGGTACATATATAGGGGCATAAAGAACACTAAGATTTGGACCTTCATAAGAATTTGTGCTCCGCTTGCTGAGACGTATCTCTTCTCTCCTCAGAAAGTAGACCCAATTCGGCTGGCAGTGGATGTTGCCTGCGGGTCGGGACAAAGCACTCGCGTACTTGCAGCTCATTTTGAGAAGGTGGTTGGAACAGACATCAGTGAAGCTCAAATCGAGGCAGCCAAACAAGCTGCCTCCTTCCCAAATGTTTCTTACCAGTAAGTGTTCTATAAAAGGATGCTTTCCCTTTGGGTGTATCCAGAGTGCTGACCTTTGCACAAAGCAAGCACTTCATGAACAGGACAGATACAGGCCAGCATTTTCAAACGAGGTCAGTCATTTCTAGGTGCCTGATTTCAAACATATTTGGTCTGCTTTTTCACAAAGTACCCAGAACTCATGACTCCATCTGAAAGTCGGCAGGAGCTGCAGGTCCTCAGCTTCTGAAAATCAGGCCGCTCCTAATTAAATGCCGAAATATGGATTTTGGAGCTTGGGCTGACATTCTTGGGCTGACATTCTTCAGTTGGCTGTTTTCTGACATTCTTGGGCTGACATTCTTCAGTTGGCTGTTTTCTACACTGGCCAGGTACAGACAGTCAAGAAGTGCACGTCCCTTCAGTTCAGGGAGCGTGGGTCAGGTTTCCCTTATGACCGAAACACACACACAGCCCCATGCCTTAGTACTTTTTATCTGATTTGTTGGCCGTGTTTTAAAACAGACCAACCAATTAGGGTAGGCCAAATTTTCAGTGTGGTTAGCATTGTCGCTTTGACTGTATAATGTATGCTTACTTATCTCCTTGTAGCCAATTGTTTTATAGATTATTTTACCACATAGAAGTCAGCATAGATTGTTATCTAGTTGCAGCACGTTTTGACCACAAATCTTAGCTTCCTTTTGCAAAGCTTGCTTTTTAGAGCTTCCAGAATGAGGCCTAACACTGACAATACTTTTGTTTAGTTCAAGCTTGACAATACAGTTGTTCAAATTATTCACACAAACAATAATGGGTGGGTGGTCGGGAGGGTGGGTGGGTGGGGGGGAAACAGGGAATGACCATTAAACCCAAAATAAAATTGTTCAGATGTAGCCCATTCACAAAACTTCTGTGAGTTTCAAGTATCAGGGAAGTCTGAAGGGTCTGTATTATTCCATTATTCTCCTGTGTAGCTCTAACTGGCCCTCAAGCCAGGCAGCCCTGAATCAGGGAGTGCAGCTCAGATGAAGTGGAGGATCAAGGCCTTACATAACATTTTTGCTGTTTCTGTTCTGACTTTACAGACCCGGGACCTGCTTCTTGAATATGCAGATGAAAAAGTAAAACTTGTCTTTGCAGAGTATAAAGAGGTGTTTGAGTCTGTGCCTTTTCAGGACAAGCGGAGGTGAGACGACAAGGACAAAACTGAATTTTATGTAATCTCTTGCATTGTGGGCTGTGTGAACCCTGGAATACTGGGCACTTGGGCGGCATTCATTGGTCTTCACTTTGAGACTGCAGGTTGCAGAAGATTCATAGAGTTTAAGGCTAGACGGTAGCACTGAGATCATTTGGTCCAATGTCCTTCAAACAGATCTACAGTGTCTGGTCTGTCTGGTTCATCTGTGTGGCCTCCTCATCAAATGAGAGAGGTTTCCCCATGAACAAATGTCCAAAAAGGGGAAGGGATAACAGATCATGCCCCACATCTTAATAGTCTGCATGAGCCAGATACTCATTTGTATAAATCAGCATAGCTCCATTCCCCTCCAGGCTTACTTCTCCAATGCTTTGGTTTCTTCCCACTCTTGCAGAGTTACCCAGATCTTAGACAAAATTCCCATGTCTGTTGCAGGAGTAACTGGGTTCTTCCAGTCCCTCTCCATGTATCAAGCCTTTCTGAGGAGCGACCCTGAAGCAGCAAAATCCCTCCTCCAAAAAACTGAACAAAGGTAAAAACAATTTAAGAAAATGAGCAGAATATGGGCAGCTCTCTTGTATGACATAGGTGAAGAGTGAGGTTGCAACAATTCCTCCAACGCTGGGGGAAGGGGAGGCAGTCATTGCACTGGTGCAGCCCTCTTTGCTCTGGGTCACTATTGTGAGTGTGGCTTTTTATGGGCCAGATCCTCAGCTGACTTAAATCAGCAAAGCCCCATTAGCTTCAATAGAGCTATGCCAACTTAAACCAGCTGGGGATATGGCCCAGTATTTCTGCCAGAATCCCCTATGTGCATTGCTGTCACTGGTGAAGTCTAGCTTGATACTTCATAAAATAGGCAGCTTAGCTAATTTCCTCCTTCTGGTACTTGATACTGAGTATTTCCTTCTGGGACATCCTGAAGTTTAATTAGCAAGGGAATAAAATATTAAGAGCTTGAGCTTCTAGTTCCATCTTATACCCAATAAACCACAATCTCTTGGGCTATATGGTGCCTTCAGTCTCTTTATACAAACCCAGTAACACCAAAAGTTTCACAAATGGGCAGCCTACCATACGGTCCTCAGTAATTACGGTTAGTGACTGGCACAGGTAATGTGCTAAAACTGCTTTAGACATAGTAAACTTCTCCTGAAGTACCTTTTGTGTATCCTTTTACAATAAGAGTAGAATGTTTTTTGGTGGGACAGGTATGTCTTAGGGCTTGTCACCCCCCGAGTGACATAAGTTACATTGACTTAAAGCGGTGTCCACACCACGCTGCTAGCAGGAGACGATCTCCCACTGATACAGCTTCCACCTCTCATTGAGGTGGAGTGATTATGTGGACTGGGGAGCGCTCTCCCGTTGGCATAGCACGTCTTCACCAGGCGCATTACATTGGCGCAGCTGATCAATGCAGCTGCGCCGATGTAGCGCAGTAGTGAAGACAAGCTCTTAGGCTGCGATGCTAAGAACTGGCCTAGCTGTCACCTCTGCCTCTGGTAGGACAGGAGTCTGTCTATGCACTGAGAAAGTAAGTGACCCTTCCTCCATTTCTTGTTTCAGGTTCCTGGACACAATGGGAGTTTGCTCTAATGAAACCCAGGTAGAGATTAGGAAAAGGAGTGTTTGTGTTCTAGACTGCAAGGGGCGACGAATGGAAAATCCAGCAATGACCCAATAGCCAGAAGAAAAATCCCGATTTTGGTATCTACTTATAACCAGATCGATAAAGACAAGGTAACACACCATGGAAGGGATCATTTGAACTACTCATACATATTGCTGGGTTCCAGGTTAATCATTTCGGCTCCAGAGAGAGACCTCGGCATCAGTGGAGGGGAGCAAACAAAATATTAAGATGCATGAGGAGTGGGGTTGAAAGTAATACAGCCTCCCTATGAACTCTGTGCTCAATCCTGGGCATTCTACTCCAGAAAGGATATAGCAGACAAAAGTGTTCAAAAATGGGTGATGAAATTATTAAACGCCTGCAGAAACTTTGAAGGAAGAGATCTGATACTGGCCACTACTGGAAGCAGGCTACTAGAAAGGATGGACCACTGATCTGATGTGCTGTAGTATTTTTTGGCTTCCCATGGTGAGGCAATGTCTCAGCTTCTCATGTACCACTCTCATAAATCTGTCCATTTAAAATATATATATATATAGTCCCAATGGGTGAAATTATACAGGGAGTCAGCACAAAGCCTATGAACTGCTTAATCCCTATTTTGTTCTGGCTCTTTGCATGAGGTGACTTTCCCCTACTGAAAACAGGATAAGGGACACATTCTCTTTTAGGATCTTCTCTGAGCTGTTCCTCAGTTTAGCATTTCAGAACTGCTGTTATTTTATTGGATCCAGAAGGAACAGGGGAGGGATGATTACATACACCAAAAGCATTTCTTTGGACATTAAAGAACACTTCACAGCACAAGCACTGTGAGGAAATGGCAATGCAACAGTCTCTAAAGTGCAATAAACTTTACAGCTACAACACATTTACAAGTCTGGTAAATTTGAGTCTTCTTCCTGGACCTGGATGTGTTGCTGTGACCCTGCTGGCATGTCACTGCCCAGGATGGTTTTGGAATCTATGCAGTGGTACCCATTCTCCTCCACCTTTGGTTCCAGCCCACCTGTCCAGTGACCTCCCCCTCTGAGGCTGGCACTTGATGCAGGGTTTAGAGAACATGGCCCCTTTAAAACGTTGCCTGCAGCAGAGGACGTACTGATTGTTCTAGGAAGAGGAAGTGCTGGTTGTTCCAGGGGTGTGGAGAGTGGGAGAGTGACAGGGAGTGTGTGCCTGGAGCTCCAGACAAGAGGGCTGTGATGTTGTATGATTAAAGATGACCATTTATATCATTGATATTGCCACTGTTACCTAATTGCAACAAATCTTGCACAAAGTGTATCATGTAAGGTGTCCATGGAAAAGTTACAATCTATTGAGTATGATTTTCCTGATTAAATCACTGTATCTAAAGTTATGAATATTGGTATGTATTTGTATCTCCAACATGTGGTTTGTTCCTGGGTGACACCCTCCAGATAGATTTACATCAGGGCTAGATAGCTATGTGTTGATGACCTATCAAGGACACTCCACTCACACAAAGGCCATTGAAAAAAGTCATCTAGTCCAGATAGCTCTTCCTGCAGATGCCTGAGACAGCAAGGGGCCAATGGCCACCCCTGTCATTCAGCAAAACATGTAAAGGCATGTGGTGTGGACATGTGACCTTGGACGCCATCTTGGGCCAGTAACTTTCCATCCTGGTCTGTGGGCTTTGTTTGGGACAGTGAATTTCCATGCACATGGTAAAGGATATAAAAGCCCCTGAGACACGTCCATTTTGTCTCTTTCCTACTCCAATTCCCTGGATTGTGGATTTACAACTGTGGTTAGATGTTTGGCTCTGTGTGTGTGTGTGCTCTGTGTTCTCAGCTGGCACAGCAGACCTCAAGCGGACCGCCCAATGACTACATGAACAGTTAAGGGATGAAGGCCCAAGTCGAAGCACAATACTAGTATCCCACAGACTCTACCGGACCACTAATACATGTATGCCCATAACAATGGCATTGCTCCACACTACCCCAAATTCGACCCAGCGAGGTTGATTTTAGTGCTAAACCCCTCGCCGGGAAGGAGTACAGAAATTGATTTTAAGAGCCCTTTAAATCGACAAAACAGGCTTGGTCGTGTGGACGGGTGCAGGGTTAAATCGACCTACCACTGCTAAATTCAACCTAAACTTGTAGGTAGACCAGGGCTTGGACTTGGTTGTCTGGATGGCAGCCAAGGGCTGGAATGCCTAAAGGGGACTGTTTGGCTTCTGGTTAACCAGTGTGGCACTGCAGTGTTAAAAAAGGGTTAAAGGGTTAAAAACGCAGAAGCCCTTTTGTTACTGGCTTGGTGAATCTAAATTATAGAACAAACCAGCAGTTCTGGGGGGTTGTCTGCCCTATTTCTCGCAGTCTGCCCTTTGGGAAGCATTCTCAGTGTGGTCCAGCCGAGGCACCCAATCACAAGGGCTACAACAAGCAGGCCCTCACATAATGAAGCAACCAAAAACCTACCCAAAGTCTGGGAAGGACAGAGCGGCTGAGCAGGGATGCTCCAGGACAGAAGCCAGGAGGGGCACTGCAAGAGTGGAACCAATGGGAACTCCAGGGGAGGGGGAGAAGTTTATAACTAGGAGGAGTGGGCGCCACACTGAAGAACTTACCAGTGGAGCAGGCCAGGAGCCGAAGGGTTTGCTGTAAGAATTGTGTTGCAGGGACTTGGCCAGTTGGATTTAGGCTCCTTCACCCTACTGGAGAAGAAGAGAACTAGAATTGCTGCAGGCTGTACAAATTGAAGGCTGTCTTTGCAAAGACTCAAGGGGAGTTTGAAGGAGTCTGTGCAACTATCGTCTGTGTCCCTCTTTAAGGAGCTGGCCATACCCTCCAGAGGGTTTGGACGCTATTCAACAGAGACTGAGAAGAGTGAATCCTCCCGGAGAAGGGCCCTTTAATGCTATATAATATAGATGATAGCTCGCTATATCAAGGTCCTGAAAAGACTAAACTCAGGTCTATACCCTAACAGACGGGTAAGCGGAGTCACAGGAAAGGGGAAAGAAATAATATTCTTGACATTAGCTCAGTGCTTTCCCTGAGCCTGTTACACTTACAATCCAGGGCCGTTACGCTGCAAACACTTTTGCACGCGCTCGACTTTACTCACATGACCTTGGTAGGATTGGTTATGTGCTTACAGGTAGGTATGTCTGTAAGTATTCGCAGGATCAGGGCTTAAGCAGACAAGCAAGTAGTCAATGGGGGGAGGGCAGGAATACAATCAAATGTATAGCGTTTTGACATGCCTATAGGGCGGGTAAGAAACGTGCTGAGGCTAAGCCTCCCCGAACGAGGCAAGAAGTGCTGGGCGCAGCGCACCTCTCTTTGGAGGCCCACCACCTTTGGA